ACAGATCCTTTACATCCTTGGTTAAATTTATTTCTAGGTGTGTGGGGGTTTTTTTAAGCAATTGTGAATGGGATTTTTTTCTTGGTTTCCCTTTCTGATTGTTCATTATCTATATATATAAACTAGAGGCCTGGTGCACAAATTTGTGCACAGGTGGATTATGGCTGACCCACCCCTATTGGGGCCGGACTTGCTGATGGGAGGGGCCATGGGTGGTTGGCGGACTGGCCCCGCCCCCAGTTGGGGTGGTGGGGTGATGGGGGGTGGGACTTGCCAGGGGGAGAGGCCGAGGGCAGTTGGCCAGCTGGCCCCACCTCCTGGTCAAACTCCCGGTCGAGGGGACAGTTTGCATATTAGCCCTTTATTATATAGGATAAGGAATATGCTAATTAGCCAAGTGTCACAACTGTTCAGGAGGAGCTGCGCATGAAGATGGGTGGGAGGGGACTGCGTGCCATCCCCACCCCAGCAGCTGCTGGGAGGCTGGGGCTGGGGGCAGGCCAGAGTGGAGACACAACACACGGAAGGCTGGGGCTGGGGGCAGGCCAGAGTGGAGACACAACACATGGAGAGGCTGGGGCTGGGGGCAGGCCAGAGTGGAGACACAACACATGGAGAGGCTGGGGCTGGGGGTGGCCAGAGTGGACACACAACATAAACATAACCTCCATGTCTTCTGAGCAGACACAACGCGCAGGGTGCTTCCTAGCACGGAGGGAGGCGGGGCGCCTCCTCGCACTATTTCAATCGCATGCTGGGCCTCTAGTTGATATATGAAAATGCAACTGATTTCTGGATATTTATTTTGAATCATGCTACTTTACTGAATTCATTTACCAGTTCTAATAGTTTTTCAATGGAATCTTTAGGGTTCTTTATAAACAGTATAATATCATCTGCAAATAATGACAGTTTTACTTCTTCCTTTCCCATTTGGATGCCTTTTATTTCTTCTTGTCAGATTGCTATAGCTAGGACTTCCAGTACTATGTTTAATAAGAGTGGTGAAAGCTGATGTTCCTGTCATGTTCCTGATCTCAAGGGGAGCACTTGTAGTTTTTGCCCATTGAGGATGATGTTGGCTATGGGTTTGTCATATATGGCATTTATTATATTGAGGTATGTTCCCTATATTCCCACTTTGCTGAGAATTTTTTTCATAAATGTGTGGTGAATTTTATCAAATGCTTTTTCTGCATCACTTAATATGATCATGCGGTTTTTATCCTTTATTTTGTTCATGTGGTATATCACATTTATTGATTTGCAGATATTATGCCAACCTTGCATTCCCAGAATAAATCCCACTTGCTCATGGTGTAGGATATTTATTATGTATTGCTGGATTCGGTTTGCTAAAGTTTTGTTGAGGATTTTAGCATTTATGTCCATCAAGGATATTGACCTATAATTTTCTTATTTTTGTAGTCTCTATCTGGTTTTGGAATTAGAATAATGTTGGCCT